AAAAAAGTTTTTTAAGGATTGACACAAGGGACACACAAAGGTTGAACATCAAATTTTAATCTTGAAACCTTTTATCCAGTCCTCAAATTATTCACATGAAAAGGAATGATAAATTGTAATTTTATCATTACCATATCACTGTGTAACAAGCCCTTGTTACAAAATCTCCCTCTACTCTCTCCAAAAAACCAATAGAAAACCCATACATTATATTACCTAATGATCTATGAACAGATGAAATTTTAACCAACTTTATACCAGGAAACTATGAACAGAGGTACTTCAATCACATAGCTTAAAATATGGAGAAAAGACAGGTAAAAAAATTATCTTAGCCTGTAGTAGTCTTTTTCTTTTTAAAATTTTTATAAAATACACTAATTTCCCAAAATAAAGAATATTATGACACATTGGTGTCAACTTACACAGATGAAAGCTGATGCCAGCTTTTTTCCTAACTAAAGTTCATTTCACCAAACCCTTATATATTACATGAATATCCAAGTAAAGTATTTTTTAAAAATTCAACACACAGGAACATAATATACAGTGTTTTTTTTTTAAAAGATTAATTTAGGAATGATTTCATTTTCAACCATATAGTGTATCTTTAAGACCATGAAACCTCTTGCCATTGCAAGAAGACTTTTCAGTTCATGTTTTTATTTCCCAGTTTTAATTCTTAAAAGAAAAAAAAAAGATCAAAGGGTTTATTATCTATTTCCCATGAGAAAACTGTGGTAAGGATCTTACTCACTACCAGGCTGTCTTCCCTCCTTTTGTTTTCCAGACTACCCAGATCCATGACTGCGTGGCACCATAATGAAATCAGTGGGAGAGGCCAATGACATCAAAGAATGGATATAAAAAGACAGGCTCAGCTGGGTCCCGCCACAATTGTAAGGTGTGGGCACATTCGCTCCCACCAAGCCTTCCAGAGCTCCACAGTCACAGGAGCAGTCTCCTGGTTAACTCATCCTTGATGTCTGTCTGCTGGGAGGACATAAAAACATTTTCACTAATGACTTGGGTAGTGGCTAATGGATGCCTTAGCCAGAGAGGGAGTGAGCACACTGAACAGACCTGGGTCAGTAGTGGCTTTGGGGTAGAGAAGAGAACACTGTTGATTTTTACACCCCCTGAATTGGTTGACTCTGAGTACAAACTCACCTTAACAGGAAATCGCAATGAAATATACACACCATGCACAGTCTATATCACTGTGGGAATCCAGTAACACATGCAAGACATGAGGAAAGAATCACAATGGATGAATACGAACTTTTCACAGTGTTTCTTACAGCCTTTGACCTAACACGAGTGCAGCACTTACCACTACTATCTCACAAATGTTTCACTTGTGTCCTGGGCATGCAGATCAGCTGGGGTAAAACGGGAAATGACGCATCATAGCCATTCTCAGACAGTGAGTTCAACCTCAATTTCCCCTACTTTCCAACCAAACAATTGAGCTGCTTGTGCTATAAAACTAAACATATTTCTGAATACATTTTGTTCAAGGGTTGTGCTGTGTTCTTTCTCATTGTTTCAGTGATTTCATTCCAGGAAAATTAAAAATCCACACAATTAAACTGAGGACTAGATCTTCAGGGTGATTCTAACCAACTTCTAACTTCTCTTCTCTCAAGTTTCTCTCTACCCCAGGTCCTAATTGATGCTCATTTGTATGTCTGGTTTCCCAAAGAAGAAAACCAAATTAGAGAACTGGCATTTCCAGCTTAAAGAAGCAAAACATAACCCCAAAATATAATGGTAGCAGGGAGGGGGGGAGGGAAAGATGCATTCACTCTATGTCAAAATGAATCTCTTGCTCTCAACAGGAGATAATCCAGCTTCTCCTTAGCTATCATTTCATAAATTAATAATTTCTTAAAATCATAATCCAAAGAATGTATCTATTATAAGAAAAGTTCAAGTTTAAAAAAGCAAATAAATTAGTTAAGCCTTGTAAACAATTGTCCATTTTAGTTACATATCTTAAAAAAAAAAAAAAAAAGGTTTCTCTGTGTAGTAAATCAGACAGTACAAGGCACACCTTACACCTCCGAATCCAGACTGATAAAATCCACACAGACACCTTCTTCACTCTGCTGGCTGGGGGAACTGTGCTGGGGCATGGGAGTCACGCACCAATCCTTAGCCCATCTCCTGACCATCTGGAAGTCCACAAATGTGCTCTCTCCGTTAAGTTGCTTTGTGCTATTTTGTTGTGTGAAGTGATTTTAAGCCTTCTCAGTGTCAGTCTCCTCATATGTTTTCCACGAAGCTCCCTGGGAAGAGGCCAGTTTTCCCATTACGTTGTAATGTGCCTTTGAACCAGCCATCCTCTCGCTTTTTATGAACAAACACAATATCTCCTTCTTTAAGTTCAAGTTCTGCCTCACTCTGAGGAGGATAGGAAACCACGACCCTGTGCCTAGAAAAGAGAGAGATTTTAGTTAAGGTGATTCAAAGCAGTTATTTTAAAAAATGGTGTACCGTTAGTCTGCACGAACCTTCCACATGAATAGGACATAACATTAATTCCTTCATGTTTCATAGAGACTGGGTACTAACAAAGACCGGCCTTGGATATGTGTGTCAATCCACTACTGATGGCCCAGGTTGGTTCACTAGAGTGACCTTTATAAGGAGAGCCATCCTTGCTCCCTCCCAGTGATTGTATCTTGGTCATAAAGGAGAGTTTCGTTTCATTTCCTGGGAGGGCCATCATTTCTGTCCCTCCCTCTTCTCCAAGAAAACAGGAGTGAATTTATTTGATTGGTAAAACTGAGAGAAGTAGCTGAGCGGCAAGGTTTGGTCCTCACTGAACCACCTGGCCACAGGCTGAGGAGGCTCTGCTCTGCCTCGTGTTGTGAGCACAGAGAGGTCAGGAAAGTGAGTCTGGAAATCTGTCTCTGTGTCCCTTACACTGGGGTTTGACATGGGCGAGGCAGCAATTCTGAGGAAGGTAATCTGCCCCGCATACCCAAATTATATACCCAAGGTCCAGATGTGGAGCGGAGGGCTGTGGCCACAAATTCAATCCACTACTACCAGTAATGAGGTTGACATTCTGATCTCCACTATTCAGACATTTGTGTCTATTTCTTCTTGGTTCAAAATTTGAATATTAGTGGGAAAGGTGTCATTATCGCTTAAAAACAGCAGAAGCCTAGCTGGCTTAATATTATCTATGCCCTTGCCTCCATGCTCCTGAGCTTTCCCACACAGACTTACAGCTTGTAGGAAACCAGAGGGAAGTGACTTGTTTTACATTCTGTATCCTTTTATCCTTTGCTATTTTTCCAGCATTATCTCTCTCCTTTACTCCTCCTCTCAACAAAAGGGGAAAAGAATGGTGGTGTGTGGCAGCCAACCCCTAAGATGGCCCCAATGATCTTTGCTTCCTGGTATTCACACTCTTGTATAGTCTCCTCCTATGATCCATAGGGATGACCTGTGTGACCAATAAAATGTTATGAAAATGACAGTGGGTGATTTCTGAGGCTAGATCATAAAAGGCATTGTGGCTTGCACTTTACTTTCTCTTGGATCAGTCACTCGGGAAAATTAGCTGCCAAGTTGTGAGGACACTCAGCATCTCTATGGAAAGGAAATACACACACAGTAAGGCACTGAGGCCTCTTTGCAAAAGTCTAAACTAACCAGACAACAGTGATGTGACTAAGTCACCTCAGAAGTGGATCCTCCAGCCCCAGTTGAGCATCAGCTCAGGCTGATGTCTTCACTGCAATCTCAAGAAATACTCTAAAGCAGATAAGCTGCTCCACAATTACGTGATCCACAGAAGCTGTGAAATAATAAATGCTTATTATTCTTTTAAGCCCCTGAGATTTGGGGGTGACTGGATGCATGGCAATGGGTAACTAATAAATGGATCTTTCACTGTTTGATGCTACGTAATGAGTATTAGGTCATAAAGGTGATTTTGGGTTTCTACGTTCATTTGGTTCTCAAAGTCAGAAAATGAGTTTACAGCCTCATGGGACCCACTCCTGAAAGTGAAGAATGTTATGGCTTAAAAGTGATAGCCAGAACAAATTCTATACAACTACCCCCAAACTTGTGAAACCCCTTACAGCCTGTTCCTTTCACCAATTCCCATTCCATATAAACCAGAATCCATTTAAGAAAGACCATAGCAAGAGTCCCAGACTATTACACTGAAAAAACACACCTCTGCAAAGGATAAGTGGCAGCTCGAACAACCTAAGCTCCTTTGGCACAGGACCAAATTACTGTCCAAGATCTGAAGCAAAAGCACAGCTCCAAAGTTGGCTTATCACATCCGAGAAAGGTTCAGCTAATTCAAACGTGAATATCCACAGACCACAAGGCTGGGGTCGGATCAAGCACGGAATGAGGGAGGAAGCATGGCATTGTGGGAGAAACCCTGCCTAAGGGTTGACACAGACTCTAAGGTCAGTTAGAGCAGCTTAACTTTGGGCCAGTTATCTCAGTTCTCTCAGTCTGTTTCCTCATGTGTAGAATAGGACTGTAATGAGCTAAACAAGTATAATGCTCTTAGTATGGTGTCTGACAAAGAGGTCAACCCTAAAATATTAGCTCCCATAATGATCATATGGCTTAGACAAGAGTAGGCAGAGACCTGGTGCTTGAAGGAGGTGAAGGATGGGCCAGTCAGTGGCTGGACATCTCTAACTAGGAAACAAACTCAGGCCACAACCTAAAGCATTTCCTGACAATGAGATTTGACAAACTTTAGAATTACACAGTTAGGGTTTCGGAATCCTTTCTCTGACATCTTTATTTTGAGACGGTGTGGCTTTGTTGCCCAGGCTGGTGTGCAGCGGTACAATCACAGCTCACTGTAACCTTGACCTCCCAGGCTTATCTGATCTAACTGATCTTCCTACCTTAGCCTTCTGGCTGGGACTACAGGTGTGTGCCACCATACCTGGCTAATCTTTTTACTTTTTGTAGAGATGGCATCTCACTATACTGCCCAGGCTGGTCTTGAACTCCTGGGCTCAAGCAATCTTCCAGCCTCAGCCCCACAAAGTGCTGGGATTATAGTCATAAGCCACTATTTGACACCTTTAAAAGCAAGACAAATAATTTCATCATGAATTTATCTGAAAGAAGGATCCAGATGACATTTCTCAAGACTAATATCAACATGCTAAAAATCCATGGAAAAAGCAATGATGTAGTTGCCATTTGGGGCAAGTTAAAAATTTAAGGCAAAGCTTTATAATTCTGGGAAAAAAATGTACAAGTGGCTCAGAACATATTCAGAGTAGATTTCTCATGAGATATATTCCCTACTTGTTCTCTGTGAGCTGCCTAAAAGGCGAAATGGAATAAAAAAGATTATTGAAAAACTTGAAGTGAATTAGATTAATATATGCATTTTATAAAATGCACTAAACCAATTTTGTCAAAAAAATTTTGAACTAGAACTGCTGCTGGGCTAAGAACATACTCTTCCTGCCAAGTTCCCAGTGGGAGCAAATTTTCATTGCTAAGTTTTACAAACCTCTAGGGGGGAAGAGGGTGGGTGGAATGAGAAACCATGTGCATAATGGAAACTGTGATGCAGTTTTGATGGTATGAAGAATACCAGGTGCAGAAGTAATAGACTCTACTTAGAAATCTTCCAGCTCAGGTCCTGATTTTGAGCCTTGTGAGGTGGTTTGCACAGAGTTTTCTAATACAGATTTGTAAGGCCAAATTCTGGGCATAACTGGCCAACTATTTCAGGCATTGAAAGGCTTTGCCAAGTAGAACATTTACAGACCAACCAACAGATGTAAGGCACAGCTGCAGAGGCCCTTCACATCTGCTGCTCCACCCTCTGCCTCACGGGGATTATGCTCATCTTTATGCAAACAGGGCTTTGGGGAAGTTCTGAACCTCAGGAGTGAACGGCTACTCTCCCAAGACCTCCACGGGACCTGCTGATCTACCTTCAAAATCCACACTCCATCCACTCCTCTTCATTGTCACTGTCACTATCCTGGTTGATGACTTCATTACCTTTCGGTACCTTCCACCTGGTCAAATAAATAAATAAATATATGTATTTTTTTGTTTGTTTTTTAGATGGAGTTTCACTCTTGTCACTCAGGCTGGAGTGCAATGGCACAATCTCGGCTCACTGCAACCTCCATCTCCTGGGTTCAAGAAATTCTCCTGCCTCAGCCTCCTGAGTAGCTGGGATTACAGGTATGTGCCAACGCGCCCAGCTAATTTTTGTGTTTTTTTTTTTTTTTGAGACGGAGTGTTGCTCTTGTCACCCTTGTTAGAGTGCAATGGTGTGACCTTAGCTCACTACAACCTCAACCTCCCAGGTTCAAGTCATTCTCCTGCCTCAGCCTCCTGAGTAGCTGGGATTACAGGCACCCGCCATCACATCCAGCTAATTTTTTGTATTTTTAGTGTCCAGGTTTCACCATGTTGGCCAGGCTGGTCTCAAACTCCTGACCCTGTGATCTGCCCGCCTCCACCTCCCAAAGTGCTAGGATTATAGGCGTGAACCACCGCACCCAGCCCCATTTTTGTATTTTTAATAGAGACAGGGTTTCACCATATTGGCCAGGCTGGTCTCAAACTCCTGACCTCATGATCCTCCCACCTCAGCCTCCCAAAGTTCTGGGATTACAGGCATGAGCCACTGCGACTGACATCCACCTGGTCAAATATCTACCTATCTTTCTTGCCTCAGGTCTCTTCCTGTCCCAACTCATTCTATGCAGAACTCACATATTAATATTCTTAAGTGGCAACTCTATTTGCAGCAATCCACTGCCAAAAAATCATTAACAGCTTTACAATGCCTGCGAGCAAGGTTAATCCTCAGCCTGGTATGCAAAGCCCTTGGTGATCAGGCCTTAATCTCTTTTTACAGCTGTAGTTACTATTATCACCACAAAAGTCCCAAACACTCCCCTAAGCCTGAACATGTCCCCTACATAGGGCCTTTACCTCTCCCACTCCATGCCTTGGCTCGTGCAGTTCCTTCCAGTGGGAATTTCATTTGACACTATCTTTGCCCATCCATACCCTATCACCCTCTCAAAGCCTGGCTCCAATTCTCCCCTGTGAAATCTCCAGCCCCACAGCTGGAGGCAATTTCATGCTTGACTAAATCCCAGAGGCCTCCATGTATATGTCTTATGGCACTTAGCACAGACTACATTGTATTATTACCATCTGTGTCCCTGTCTCATTTATTCTACCAAACCATAAGCTGCTTGAAGGGTGAGATGATGCTAAATTCACTTTCTATGTCTCATAGTACTTAGCATGGTACGTTTAATTCTTAATAAGCATGTCAAGTGGCAAAAAAAGGCCTAATTGTATAGAAAAAGCGTTTTTTAAAATGTACACAGCTCCTGAAAAAGGAATGAAATTCTAACAAGTGCTAAAACAGGGATGAAGCTTGCAAACGTTATGCCGAGTGAAATAAGCTGCGTGCATACAGAAGGACGACTACTGCGTGATTCCGCTTGTGAGGTGCCCAGAAGTCACTCACAGGGACAGAAAGTAGAAGGGTGGCTGTAGGGCCTGAAGGTGGGGGAATGAAGGATTAGTGCTTAATGAATACGGATTCAGTTTAGGATATGAAAACTTTCTAGAAATGCATAATGGTAAATGGTTGTATGACAACATGAATGTACTCAATGCCATTGAATTGTACACTTGAAAAATAGTAAATTTTCATGTATACTTTACCATAATTTAAAAAATAAGATACATACATGAATAAAATTTTTGTTGAAGAAAAAGAAAGGAATAGGGTGTGGTGGCTCACACCTGTAAACCCAGCACTTTGGAGGCTGAGGCAGGCAGATCACCTGAGGTAAGGAGTTCAAGACCAGCCTGGCCAACATGGTGAAACCCCGTCTCTACAACAAATACAAAAATTAGCCAGGCGTGGTGGTACGCGCCTGTAATCCCAGCTATTTGGGAGGCTGAGGCAGGAGAATCGCTTGAACCCAGGAGGTAGAGGTTGCAGTGAGCCAAGATTGCACCACCGCTCTCCAGCCTGGGTGACAGAGCGAGGCCCTGTCTCAAAAAAAAAAAAAAAAAAAAAAAAGGAAAAATGTATAAAGCTCACTGGTACCTTGGTTGGAAAGCATGCCCTGTTCCCTTTGAACAGGGCACTGTGGAGGCATTGCGGGGTGACCGGAGTGGCTCACAGACTGGGCCCTGAATGGCCTCTGCCTCTTAGTGGCTCTGTGACCTTAACTCAACTTTTGGTGATAACAGTCAAGGCGGAATTCAAGAAACAGAGTCTTGCAATATAAAGAAGCTCCACAGACATCCGATGCTATGGTCTTTTAGCTTCCATCTGAATGGGCATTTGCCATCTTTTACTAGTATACATTTCTTGCTTCCCTTATTTTTCTGGCCTCTAGTGTTCTCTGAAGTCCATATATTTTCATTTCTAATTGCCCCTGGTATAGCCCAGATTGGCTCCCCTGTTGCTCTGGGAGGCGCTCAGTCCATCACTCTGACCTGGGTGAGTAACCACTTACTGCTTTCTGCCAGTTGCCACAGCAATCTAATATACAATTAAGTATTTCACTGGCAAAACCAGACTAGTTCCCTTTGTAGCATGCTCCAAGTCCAAGTAAATTATGTACATTGCTTCACCCAGTGGGCTCATTGTCACTGACTCAAAGAAATTAATCATGCTGGTTAAGCCCAGCTGCCTTTCTGTAAATCTATCTCTATCCAATTTGTTTGTTTCCAAGTGCTCAAGCTGAATCCCAGATCAAAGATCATACATAGGTTTTTTTGTTTTTTTTTTTTCCAATTTAGGAGAGGAGCTTATAGGTATGTGGTTCTTAGTTTAATTACTAAATTAAAAAATACACACAGATAAAGATGACTTGTTCTGTCTCCCTGAACCCTTTACATATATATATATATATATATATGTATTTCTTTCTTTAGAAGAAAAATATATCTGTCATATACGTACTTTCTTTTCTTTGTCATCCCTTCTGAAATATTTTCTTACCACTTTCACTTTGCAATTTCCTAATTATTTTTTCTCAATCCCTCTAAAATAGAGCCTAAAATATCTGTTCTATTATTTCTGCTGTCATCAATTATACCTTTTCTGCCTCCAGGATATAGCGCTATATCTGGCTTGTTTTCTTCAGTCTAACAAACACAGAAGAAACTTTTTGTTCCTCAGAGAATTCTCTCTGCTGACACCAAGACCTGTCAACACACTTCAAGGTTCATCCTTCCTTATTATGAGATTGCTTAAGTCTTTATACCACGTGGTTGGTATTGGTTCTTTCCACTGACAGCACTGGCTGCCCCAGTCATTCTTTTTGTTTTTGAGACAGAGTCTCGCTCTGCTGGGGTGCAATGGTGCCCTTTCAGCTTACCACAACCTCCGCCTCCCGTCTTCAAGAGATTCTCTATCTCAGCCTCCCAAGTAGCTGGGATTACAGGTGCCCACCACTGCCATACCTGGCTATTTTTTTTTTTTTTTGTATTTTTAGTAGAGACAGGGTTTCACCATCTTGGCCAGGCTAGTCTTGAATTCCTGACCTTGTGATCCACCGTGACTGGCACATTCTTTTACTTTAGACATATGAGACAGGGTCATGGTTTGAGAGGAAATTTTATGCTTGTTCTCATTCTAATCTGTAGATAAATCTTATCTCATAGTATTCCAATAATATACATTGAAAAACATTTCTATGAAATTCTATCAGTATAATTTCTACCAAAAGAACCCTGGGCTCCTTCTGTATTTTGCCAGGGCAAGAGTTGTTGATGTTTGTATTGTAAATCAAGAATTATTTCTAGATCCTGAAACGTTTTCTCAATCATACTTATATACAAGTTGATCTTTCCTTCATTTTCAGCAATGAGCACTTTTTATTGTGTTGCAATGTTTAAAATATGAAAACAAGTAATCTCTAAATTCTATACTTGGTGGCTTTTAATTAATCAAAGCATTTCATTCCTAGTGAATAACAGAATATTTTCCTATACGTTTCCACATGTTTCCTGTTATTTTTACTGCGAGGCAAAGCTGAGAATCCAAGGTAAATAAATACTATTAGCATCATGTATGAAATGAAGGGCTGTGGAACGTTGGTCAGATTGGCTATTATATTTAATATTCCACTGAACATATGGATTATAAAAATATAAACTTGGATAGACGTCTTCTCCAAAGACCCATTTCCCACTTGTAAAAATTCAAATGGTTATACAAGAAAATCTGCCAAAGAATTCCAGCGTGCTCGGGCCCATCTGTCCCATCATTAAATTCCCCATATTCCCTATCTGACGTACATCCCCCGCTCCCTGAAATGCTGTCACCTGTCTGTGCTAGCAATTCCTCCTTTCATATGAACTGAACAGCAGGAGGCTGCTGTTAGAAAGGAGTTCCTCTAAGAGGAAGGGACTAGAATGCAGAAGCCACAGAGACCAGGGACATCTGGCAACTGAAAAGGAATGCATTAGGGGGAGGGAGACTGCAGTGCCCATGCCAGTGTCTAGGGAGAGTCTGGGCAAAGTCAACCATCACTCAAAAGAGTCACACAAATACAACAAAATGAGGGGGAACACAGGAGAGATGCCCTCAGGACTTGAAGGAAAAACTGCAGATCAATGCCTGGAGGGAAGGAGGGAGGGAGGCTTTGTGACCAAGAGAAGGCAAACAAGTAACTGGACCAACTCCAGGGACAGAAGGTGCTATCCCTGGAAAGCAGACCAATACAGCAGGAACAAGGTTGACTCGAAGAATACAAGATTCAGTGAATTCTGGACAAAATTTCAAAGCTTTACTAAGAGCACAACAGATGACAGGAAAGAGAAAATGATTTCATTTGTAGGGAGAGAACATTTTGTTAGGGTAATGGCTCATTTTAAAACTGGTTTCTATAGAAAATTATTATACAGCACTATAAAGATAAATATCAGAAATTGTGGCTGGGGCGGTGGTTCATGCCTGTAATCCTAGCACTTTGGGAGGCTGAGGTGGGCGGATCCCTTGGGCCCAGGAGTTCGAGATCCCCCTGGGCAACATGGCAAAACCCCGTCTCTACTAAAAATACAAAAAATTAGCTGGGCGTGGTGTTTGCCTGTAGTCCCAGCTACTCAGGAGGCAGAGGCAGGAGAATCACTTGAACCTGGGAAGTGGAGGCTACAGTGAGCCAAGATTGCACCACTGCACTCCAGCCTGGGCAACAAAGTGAGACTTCGTCTCAAAAAAAAAAAAAAAAAAAAAAATCATAAATTGTGAGCTTTGTATTTAATGTAAATAGGTTGTCTGACATTTATTTTTTTCCATTTTTCCTAGTTTATTTGTAAGTAAAAAAAGTGTGCCAAAAATATGAATGCACGCCTCAGGTTTTGGTGGATACAAATATACCTATGGCTTCATCTGAAATACACAGGTAAGGTGAATTTAAGGCATTTAAAAACATCACACTTTATAGTCACATTTCAAGTCAGCAACATAGAAAGTGCTACCAAAAAGGCAGTACCTCCACAAAGTAGAAATTTACCGTATTTATGAAATGTAGGCACAGAGGAAATGAAGCTTATGGAAACAATAAAACAGATGACACGACAAATACCATATATTTATATGCGATATAAAAATAGTCAAGTATTTTAAGGATACTTCATGATGCTTTCCTATGTAACGAATAGCGCTTCACTGTTCAGTTTAAATACAGGTATTGATCGACTTACCACCTATGCAACTTACGACCATTCGACTTTACGACCACAATCGCTAGCCACGACTGCTCCGCGTTGGCAGCGCAAACGTTGCCCAGCTGGGCGTATGACAATGCGGACCAGCTTCCGGCAGCACTACCATCTCTGCGTGGACCATTTCAACTGTACATATAGCCTACTCAACTTACAACCAAATCGTGTTACGACCGGTCCGCAGTGCCGACCGTGGTCGTAAGTCGAGCACTAGCTGTAATCCTAGTAGTTATTTGTCTCATTAAATATATATTTTCTTTCCTAACACATTCCTAGAGCCCCAGCGGAGTATCAAACAGAGCTGCTCCCTTTTGTAAGAATTATTCCAGGCTGGCATCACTGACAGGGCTTACTACTCTGAGTGTAACTGAATCAAGTCACTGGGTCAGGAGGAGAGTCAGAACTGAGACTGAGAACTTAGCCACATTCTTCTGGCTCAGGAAGAAGAAGAAGCGAGTTCTTGGCCAGGCACGGTAGCTCATGCCTGTAATCCCAGCACTTTGGGAGGACAAGGCAGGAGAATGGCTTGAGTCCAGGAGTTCCAGACTAGCCTGGGCAGCATGGAAGACCCTGTCTTTACAAAAAATCCAAAAAAATTGGCTGGGAATGGTGGCACAGGCTTTAGGAAGCTGAGGTGGGAGGATCACTTGAGCCCAGGATGTTGAGGCTACAGTGAGCTGTGACTGTACCACTGCACTGAAGCCTGGGCAACAGAGCAAGACCCTGTCTCAAAGAAAGGAAAGAGTTCTCTTAGCTAATAGAATTCTCTAATTTAAGCTTGTCTGACCTGCGGGCATGCAACACAACACAAATTTGTAAACTTTCTTAAAATATTGTGAGGTTTTTTTTTAAACTCATCAACTATCATTAATGTTAGTGCGTGTGTGTGTGTGTGTGTGTGTATAATGTAACATATTTTTAACATAATATAAATTTATTTATTAATTATTTCTATTTTCTTTGAGATGGAGTTCTGCTCTGCTGCCCAGGCTGGGGAGCAGTGGCACGATCTCCTATCACTACGACATCCACCTCCCAGGTTCAAGTGATTCTCCCACCTCAGGCTTCCAAGTAGTTGGGATTACAGGGACCTGCCACCATGCCTGGCTATTTCTTTGTATTTTAGTAGAGACAGGGTTTCACCACGTTGCTGGGATTACAGGTGTGAGCCACCGTGCCGGGCCATATTTGTGTATTTTATGTGTGTCCCAGGGAGGCCAAAAGATCGGACACCCCTGCTCTAGTTGCTTCACAACTAGCAGGAAATGCTGCAAACTTTTAATTAAAAAGGCAAAATATTAAAAAAAAAAAAAAAAGACAGTGATTGCTGGCAAAGAAATAGAAACAAGAAAGAAGTCAATCCATGAACAAGTTCCCAGTGATTGACAATTTTCACCTGGATACAATTCTTGCATGGCGGAGTGGAGAAAATAAAAGAAAAGAAGGCTAGGGACCAACCCATTAAGAAACATGGAAGGGGCTGGGTGCGGTGGCTCACGCCTTTAATCCCAGCACTTTGGGAGGTTGAGTCAGGTGCGTCAGGAGGTCAGGAGTTCAAGACCACCTGGCTAAGATGGAGAAACCCCATCTCTACTAAAATACAAAAATTAGCCAGACACAGTAGTGGGCACCTGTAATCCTAGCTCCTCAGGAGGCTGAGGCAGGAGAATTTATCAGACTACGAGGTAGCATCCCAGGGAAAGCGCACCATAGTCCCCAGGAAAAAAAACCCAGGAGGTGGAGGGTGCAGTGAGCTGAGATTGAGCCACTGCACTCCAGCCTGGGTGACAGCACAAGGCGCAAGAGGCAAGACGGGGAGGGGAGGGGAGGGGAGGGGAGGGGAGGGGGTAAATGGAAAACAGAGCACGTGTGGCAAGTGGGAAAAGAAATTCAGTGCTTGATTATTTTTATAAGCTCAGTTTAAAAACATTTAGGAGGATGTGGCAAAACATCTTAAATGTTCCAGCATAAAGCCTGTTGTTCATTTTCCAATTTTTTTCCTGGAACGAAGTTGAACTCACCTTTCACAAACAACAGGTCTCGACTCATTTAAGACAGGACCCAGGGAGGAACAGGCCTGGCGAGGCGGTGGAGCGATGGGGACGGCGGAGTCCAGGGAACTTGCCTTCCTGTGAAAAGCATCCTGGGCCAGGGCTGCTCCCGCCGCTGCAGTCGTGACC